AGATTATTATTATTATTATTATATTTTGATTTGTTTTGTATGGAGAGGACATACAAACTTAAATGTATGATAATAGTTAACAATAAGTGTACGTAAACAGGTTAGATAGTGATAAGTCATAGTTTGACGTCAGTAACATGTAACTAATCTAAAAACACGAAACACCAAACTCTGTGTATGTTGCGAACTATTTTTTATACCAATTTTATTATTTATGTTTTTTATAATATCATATTGTTTTTATCTGACATTAGCTTTTGCCCGCGGCTTCGCGCGCGTTAATTTGTCCCTTTAGGGGTGGAGTTTATCGAAATCCTTTCTTAGCGGATGCCTACTTCATAACATCTACCTGCATGCCAAATTTCAGCCCGATCTGTCGAGTGGTTTGGGCTGTGCGTTGATAGATCACTATGTCAGTCACCTTTGAGTTATATCTATATAGATAAGTCATTATTACACAATATTTTACGACTATACCAGTGCCGTTTCGTTTGGTCGTTGTCCTCACATCTTTCACAGTGTATTTATTGTTTTTTAATCAATTTTAGAAGATATAGTTTACAAGTTAATTAACAATATTTTTTGCTCACAAAATATGTGTGAAAATTCTGTTGGAACTACATTTTTGCCAGCGCTAACAGAGTACGCTGGCGGGGCACCAGTGGAGGATGATAGGATGAACATGAGGTCATGTCAATTGGCCTATCGTAATAAATTAAACACGATTGTATCCAGGGGAGCCGCTGAGATCAAACAGATATGGTCAGCAGGGAGTTATTGGGGAAGTGGATTGATTTTTGGAATGTCGCACCCGTCTGTGCTAATGGTATACGTTGGCGGGGCACCAGTGGAGGATGATACGATGAACATCTGTTCAGATGAGTTGGCACATCGTAACAAATTCACTTTGAATTTATCTCGATTTCCAAGGGGAACCGTGTGGAGGTCAACATGACATGGTACATTGCTAGCAATGGAGTCATTAGCGTAACAAATTCACTATGAATGTATCTCGATGGTTTCCAAGGGGAACCGCGTGGAGGTCGACCTAAGATGGTACATTGCTAGCAATGGGGTCGTTAGTAGGCATTACTCACAATCCCCGTTCTTATCTTCAGAGATTAGCCGGAACAAACAGACAGACAGACAAAAATTGTAAAAAATGTTATTTTGGTGTATGTACAGTATTTATATTCATATGCATGTAGTAAAAAACGGTTATTTCAATATTACAAACAGACACTCCAATTTTATTTATTTGTTGACTAACCGAGTCGCATTTTCCTTGTTATTGCAAAACTTATGACATTTGCCAGAAAAAAATTCAAATGTCTTATAAAATAGTATCTTTGTAAAAAAAGCTTAATATAAAATTGAAGAATTTATAAATTATAATAATGTTTTTATAGAAAATATCTAATTTGAAAGCGCTGACAATGTTATCTGATTGAACAGAGATTAAGTGCGTAGCGGTTTCTATGTTGATTGTCGCATGTAAATCTATCCTTATTAATGTAAATCTAAGTAAAACAATATTCATTTAAAAGAGCAACACACGAGTTTCTTGCTCATTCTTCTTGTGATGAGTCTGCATTCCGAATGAGCGGTAGAAAAAAAACATGTGACTATTAAGTTTATTTCAATAAAGAGTATTTCTATTTCTATGCTTGTGGGGACTGGTCTGTTCGGGTTACAAACACTGATTAGACTATTTGCTTTTGCAATAGCATATTCTGGTAACCCTATTCTCCCAAATTTGAACTTAAAAATGAATCTGTATTATTATAAACATGTACAACATTTATTTGAAAAGAATACCAGCTGAGTTTCTTGTCAGTTCTCAGCTCGAAATCATTCCGAACTGACGGTAGATTTGACATATCATAAGTCTGTAATAGACCTACACGAATGAAGATATTTTGAACTTGATTTTCTAATATTTTTCATTTCATCTCTTCTATTGGAAGCGTGATGTTATTTTTGTTATGTTACATTATTATTCAGTGATATTGAATTTATGACTTAGCGTTTACCAATACACGCGGCGACAATCAAATATTATAAACGTATACCTAACTTGCGTGTGATTATATATTTTAACAAACAACGACCAAAATTTAAAGGAGGTTAATTCAACACGTCTTCAGTTTTGACCGTGACCGCACCTAACTTTTGCCGATTTTACACAAACAATAAATAACCCTGGCCAATTCAGACAGCGCCAGTCTAGTCGTAAGCTAAGCAGAAATGCAAGAGTACGCACAAGACAGACGAACTTTGCATTCCATTTTTTTTATGGATAAGTCCGCGGTTTACTGCGTGCAATTTATAGCCTATATTATTCTGATGTATAAGCTATATCACTGTAAAGTTTCGTCACAATCAGTTCAGTAGTTTTTGCGTGAAAGAATAACTAACATTCACCTATATTTACAAACTTTCGCGTTTATAATATTACTAGCTGTGCCCTCAATTTCAGCCGCGTTAAATAAAAATATAGCCTATATGTTATTCTGATGCATAAGCTATATTACTGTAAAGTTTTATCACAATACGATCAGTAGTTTTTGCGTGAAAGAGTAACAAACTTCCATCCATACTAACAAACTTTCGCGTTTATAATATTGTATATTAAGATTAAGATAAGATAGTGGAATTGCGCTAACGGTATACGAGGATGATAAGATGAACATGAGGTCAGGTCAGTTAAAGTCCGTGGTAAATTTACGATGAATTTTTCACGACGGCTTCCAGGCGGAATCACGTGGAGAGAATTGTTAGCAACAGCTATGTATAGTCGAACTATCCAAATGGATTGATACATATCACTATTATCAGTATAGTGTCACATGACACCGTGTTCAGTGCCCTCGATAATATGGACTCATGTGAAATCTTAACGAAACTGGATATGAAGGTCAGCCAGTAATGATGGCGTTTGGGAAATTGTTACAACTTCGTAAACCAACCTTTCAAATTTAAAAATCATTTATTCATGTAGGACTTATTAGCCGCTTATGAACGTCCATTTGTTTTAATTTTTCCCTATCGTTCAGTACAGTATATAGATCCAATTGAGAAGAACTAGCGAGAAATTCAATTGAATTACTTTTTTTAAAGCCAGTTTATTTACAATGTATATTTATATACGTGTCTATGTCTAACATTAAATGAAAATCCCGTACGTGAACAACTATTGCTGTGCTCGCTCGTCATTCAAGTAATCGTTTAGTGAGCGAGGCTTTGCTCTTAGAGTAGTTCATGCACGAGATTTTCATTTAACGTTGGATATAGACACCTTTTTTTTTCTTATGAGTTGTTTGGGCTATTGTCAGATGCATGGACCTGTAGCACTATAGATCCCAAAATTCGATTCTGGTTCAGGAAAAAAAACTTTAAAAGTAAAATAAAAAGCAATTCAATATTTTATTTATATAAACCCATTGGTTTACTTTATAACCATGTTACCACACGTGTGTTACCATTCCAGAGAACTAACATATCAGATCTCCTTGTAGCTTTTTTTTATTGGGTTGTTTGCGCTATTGTCAGGTGCATGGACCTATGGCACTGCGACCTATAAAGATAGAAATAGAAATAATCTTTATTCAAATAAACTTAATATAAGCACTTTTGAATTGTCAAGTTTTTTTGATTCTACCGCTTATTCGGAACGCAGATTGCACGAGAAGAATAAGCAAGAAACTTGTGTGTTGCTCTACTTGTTCGCTCTAGATCTATTGTGCTCGCCCTTTTCTAAGTTCATTACCTAGACCCATCAGGGACAAGAATTGAAGGATATTCTTATGATAGTGATGGTTTTTATCTCCTCAGTATTAAGTATACACTTTCCAAAGGAGATATTACGTTTATGCATGAGTGGGCAACAACATATAGGACGTTTCCTCTTCAGTTTGGCAAAATCTTTAATTTTTGTTGTGCACAGGCCTAGGTCAGGTAAAACAAACTCTGCTTAGCTTGGGGCTAGATGGCGCTGTGTGGATTGTCCTCGGATATTATGTGAAGTCTACCTAGCTTAGTCACAATACGGAAACCAGACCAGATGGCTATATATCATACGTGAAAATACAGGAAATAATCATTTACTCAACTGTACACACATCTGAATACGTCAATACCACAGAATAATTGGCAATTATAATTTACTTTCATCTATTTTTGGACAACTTTTGTATTGTTTATTAACTCTTAAAATTTTTGCAATGTTTATTATTAACTAGCTTTTACCCGTGACTTCGTCCACGTGGAATTGAAGTCGCGTGTAGGTAGCAGTGCTACAGGTAGACAGGTCTTAGCCCCTGACAGCACAAACCCTTAAAAAAACAGAGTTTGTATTATGGGTTATGATGTGACACCCGTGGTACTACTCACTTGTTGCCATTCCAGAGTACTAAGATGTCATGCCTCTTACCCTGTAATTTCATTGCCTAATCTGCACCTTACAACCGAAACAGCTTACAAAACAAGTTGCTTGGCCGCTGAAATAAGTGAGACTGAAGTACACACGCAGACTTTTTTAAAAAGTACTATGTGTACCCGCAGCTAAAATCTAGCCTATGTATAATTTCTGATTTTACTGTAAAGTTTCATCAAAATCGGTCCAGCAGTTTATACGTGAAAGAGTAACTAACATCCATCTATGTACTATCATTTACCCCCTATCATCCGGGAATCCATCAAATCCATCTTGCGTGTTGCTTTTAAAAAAAAATGTTCATCATTACATTTTTAATATCATGAGCTAATACAAACAAACATAGTAAAATATCTGACAAATTCCTAGACCTAATAAACATAATTTAAATATTCTAATACCATAATTAAAGTGCGATGGACACACAATTTACGAACAAATCCGGTTTATTAGAATAGACATAATCTTTATTTTAATTAAGTGATAATATTCATATTAATATAGTGTTAATATTAACTTAATAGTTTCTTCAATTAACAAACACGAGTGTTTTCTATCTTTACAGAAATAAGCTGCTAAGCAGCTCCAACGCAGTAGACGACACCATGAAGGTATGGGGCGCCCATGGGGAATTCTGCGCGAGACACCAATGGGAGGTCATAGTCGCCACATTGGCTCTGCTCGCCTGCGCAGCTAGCGTTGAACGCCATGGCCCGGGTACCAGGCCGGAGCACTGCGCCGGCTGGGCCAGGGCTTGCCCCGGATTAGAAGCGGAGTACCAAGCTGCAGACGCCGTCATCATGACCTTCGTCCGCTGCGCAGCCCTTCTATACGCTTACTACCAAATCTCTAATCTGCAAAAAATAGCATCGAAGTACCTTCTAATCGTTGCCGGGGTGTTCTCAACATTTGCAAGCTTTATATTCACATCAGCCTTGGCTGGACTGTTTTGGAGTGAACTGGCGAGTATAAAAGACGCGCCATTTCTGTTTCTACTCGTCGCCGACGTCGCTAGAGGCGCTAGGATGGCCAAAGCGGGCTGGTCAGCGGGAGAGGATCAAGGGAAAAGGGTTGGTCGAGCACTAGCACTATTGGGACCAACAGCCACTTTAGATACCTTACTGGCAATTTTACTAGTCGGGGTCGGCGCCTTATCAGGAGTTCCGAGACTAGAGCATATGTGCACATTCGCCTGTTTAGCTCTCCTTGTCGACTATGTAGTATTTGTGACTTTCTACCCGGCTTGTTTGTCTTTAGTCGCTGATTTTGCGTCTGGAAGAAAAGATATGGGTTCCGACAGTCCCTTTTCAGAAGCGGACCTAAAACCGAACCCTGTAGTACAGCGGGTTAAAATGATAATGGCTGCTGGATTACTATGTGTCCATTTGACCAGTAGATGGCCTTGGAGTTCCGATAATGGTATAGTTGAAGGCCCCAGCGATGATCTCGCCACTGCTACACATGACAACGTATTATTACACTCGTACGTGAAATGGTTTTCTGTTAGTGCCGATTATATAGTCATAGCGACATTGCTTTGCGCTCTAATTATAAAGTTTGTGTTCTTTGAAGAACAGAGAAACTGGGTTATAGATATGAATGATATGACAGTCAAAGAGGTTATGCAAAATGATAACGAAACGAACTCTGGGCGCAAACCTTTATTCTCTGTAGGCGATGATTCCAATTCAGAAGTATCAACTCAGACTGATGAATTAATTATCCACGAAGACACCGAGTGGCCTGTACTATCACCGAGTTCATCAGCAGCTAAATTGAATGCTAAAAAACGTCCAATGGCTGAATGTCTTGAAATTTACCGGTCAGAAGGAGCGTGTACGTCTTTGAGCGACGAGGAAGTGATTATGCTAGTCGAACAGTCACATATACCTCTTCACAGACTCGAATCAGTATTAGGAGATGGGTTAAGAGGTGTCAGATTACGTAGAAGAGTTATAGGCACGAGATTCCAAACAGAAGATGCTATCAAGCAACTTCCATACCTGAATTATGATTACGGCAAAGTACTGAACGCATGTTGTGAGAATGTCATCGGATATGTTGGTATTCCTGTAGGATACGCTGGTCCTTTGGTTGTAGACGGTAAAGCTTATATGATTCCCATGGCGACTACAGAAGGCGCCCTAGTTGCTTCAACTAATAGAGGTGCTAAAGCAATAGGAAGTAAAGGAGTTACAAGTGTGGTTGAAGATGTAGGTATGACGAGAGCACCCGCTGTTAGACTGCCGAACGTAGTCAGAGCCCACGAATGTAGGCAATGGATTGACAATAAAGAAAATTACGCATTAATAAAAGAGGCTTTCGATTCTACATCAAGGTTTGCGCGCCTCCAAGAAGTTCACATTGGAGTCGATGGCGCTATATTATATTTACGATTCAGAGCTACAACGGGAGACGCTATGGGAATGAACATGGTATCCAAAGGCGCTGAAAACGCTTTAAAACTACTTAAAAACTATTTCCCAGACATGGAAGTCATCAGTCTCTCAGGAAACTATTGTTCCGACAAAAAAGCAGCCGCTATTAACTGGGTTAAAGGAAGAGGGAAGAGGGTGGTGTGCGAGACTACAATAACAGCCGAAAATTTGAAGACTATCTTCAAAACAGACGCGAAAACTTTAGCGCGTTGCAATAAAATCAAGAATCTGTCTGGATCTGCTTTAGCTGGGTCTATAGGAGGCAATAATGCTCACGCAGCTAATATGGTAACAGCTATTTTTATAGCGACCGGGCAGGATCCAGCTCAAAATGTTACAAGCAGCAATTGTTCTACAAGCATGGAAGTTTGTGGCGAGAACCGAGAAGATTTATATGTAACATGTACTATGCCGTGTCTAGAGGTTGGCACGATTGGAGGCGGCACAGTTTTGACTGGCCAAGGGGCGTGTTTAGACATCTTAGGGGTGAAAGGCGCTGGTGCATATCCCGCGGAGAATTCTGCGAGGTTGGCATCCTTGATATGCGCTACTGTTCTCGCAGGGGAGTTGAGTTTGATGGCGGCCCTTGTGAATTCGGATCTAGTGAAATCTCACATGCGGCACAATAGATCAGCTATCAACATGCAAGTAGCAGCCGCCCCTGAGATTTCGACAGTCACTCTAGAAGTACCAATGTTATAACACATCTTGCTGAGATGAGAGAGATTCAACCGCTTTCTTTATCTTAAGGTGATCTGACGATAATATATTAATTATTGATATAATTAGAAACTGATATTGCTTTAATTTATAAGTTTGTTTATTGACTGCAACACCATGTTTCCACTTATTTTAAATGTATACAATACGTGTACACTAAGAATATACTAGTATTGCAATGTATAAGATGACTCTATTATTCAAATTAGGCTATTTTAATCATAGAAAATATTTAAATTATTAACCGGGTCTTAACACGAATAATTTTATGGCAAACTTTCGTTAAACAATCTAGTGACGGTAGATGAAGAAAAAACTGCTGTCACCTATCTACATTGACATCGCTGTTACTCCAGTCAGCTCGTGACCACGGCTAGTGCAACCTAGTCGAAACGTCGAGAGAGGTAAATACCTTTATTTGCCATAAAATTATTCGTGTTAAGACCCGGTTAATAATTTAAATAATGTATATTAAACACGAAAGTAGAAAATTAACATAGAAAATATGTTAGGAATTTTGTTGGTGGAAACGGGGGGGTTAATTTCTAATGTGATTTGACATAAAAATAATTAAAAATGACAGTTGGACAACGACATACGATTACTAAAATTGTAATATAATATTATATATACTAAATGCAGCAAAAGGAATAATAGATTTTCTCGTATTATTTAGTATTATCTGTTTTATGTGCAGACATATTTTTTTTAATTGTAGTGCTCACATACATCTCTATTTGCCGTGTAGTCGACAGGAGAAAATGCCTTAAGGTGTTAAGTATATGCACCATTTGCTACGGCATTGTGCTTTGTAGTTTTAATAAATAAATCAAGAGATCATAACTTCTGTATAAATAAATGCAATATATACACATCCTATGTGGTTATAGCCCACTCATGCATAAACGAAATATCTCCTTTGGAAAGTTTACACTCTATCCTGAGGAGATCAAAACCATCGCTCCTAAGAATATCCTTCAATTCTTGTCCCTGCAGGGTCTAGGTAGCGAACTTTAAAAAGGACGAGCACAATAGATCTATATAGGTCGCAGTGCTACAGGTCTAAGCACCTGACAATAGCCCAAAACCCTAAATAAAACATTATGTACTAATATTTGAGCAAATAAATTATTTATTCATAGATATCTGAATCATATTAAACCGTATTATTAAAGTAGAGTATTTTATGACTTAGAAATATATTATTATGTACTTAAATTTGATTTATTTTTGTAGTTGATACGCGTTAAGTTGAAAACTGAACTGCGAGTGAAGTCAGCAGCTTAATTTGGGGCTATCCATAACTTACATCACACCTTAAGGGTACCAAATGGGGACTATTTTTAATTGATGACCTAAAATGGGACCCCTAGTTGTATTTTTTTTATATGATAATGTAATGGTGCCCCCGTTTGCGCTAACGGGTTACGCTGGCAGCACCAGTGGAGGATGATTAAATGAGCACGAGGTCAGGTCAGTTAGCCCATCGTGACAAATTTACCAAGAATTTATCACGATGGTTTCCAAGGGGAACCACGTGGGGGTAACCTGACATGGTACATTGCTAGCAATAAGATCATCAGTCCACATTACTAATCCTCTTTTCCCCCCACAATCATCTGTGTTAACGGTATATGCTGGGCACTAGTAGAGGTTGACAGGATTGGAAATGAATTCAGGACCTGACGGAGACATTGCTATCAATGGACCTAATAACCCTCATTACTGATAATCACCCCTCCCCTCTCTCAATCATCCACCTGAAGGGAAGAGGGTCTACAATGTAACGAAGGGTGTAGTTAAATTTACCAGTACTGAAAATATAACATATTTCAAAATACCTAAGTATCTGTGTTAAAACACGATATTTTTACTGTTAAATCTATATTAATGTTAAAAAGTTTTTGTTTTTTCGTAAAACTTGGACGAGGGGTATATAAAAAAATGACTTAATTATATATTATTAATACAGGGTTTTTTTAATGCAGAGGGGGGGGGGGGAGAATAAAAAAAATACTGTGCCGTAACTTATGGATAACCCTTATGTAACACAGTTACCAAGAATTCTCATTTGAAACCGTTGCAACAAGAAACCGATCTGAGATCATCTACTTCTTTCTTTCCATTTATTCGTTATATATTTTTCTCTTCCATTCATCTGTTCGCAGTCATTTCGTTATTTACTCACTTTCTTACCATATCAACATTCACACAGTCCATCCATCTGTTTTTCGGTCTTCCTCTGTCCTTATAACCATCCACATTCATATGTAACACCTTCCATCAACTTTCGAATACCATACAGAATCGCAAAGCTATAAATTTTAATCGGTTACAATCGAATTGTTAGCAACCGTGTTATATAAATGAAGCAGCAGATTTAATTTGTATATTGCTTATATTATTGTTTCGTAGTTAGTGACCGATTTCTATTTTGAAAAAATTCTGCCGGAAATTGTATTTCAGAGTTATTTGGTACAAATTAAAGTTTACAACTTTTAGGACAAACAATTCGCTGAAATTACGACCGAAACCGGAAATAATTGTAGTAGTAATAATATAAAAATGTATTAATTTCATATCAATTAATAATTAGAAATATTTAAAAAATTTAATTCAATTCTTAAAAGTAATCTTCCTCTGCGTGGATTTTAACTATATTTTTCTAAAATAAAAGTAGCCTACCTTACTCCTTATTACATCAGCTACCTGTCAATAAAAGTCCCGTAAAAATCAGTCCAGCCATTTCAGAAGTTAGCTGGAACAAACAGACAGACACACAACAATTGTAAAAAATGTTATTTTGGTGTATGTACCCTATTTATATTCATATGCATGTAGTAAAAAACGTTTATTTCAATATTACAAACAGACACTCCAATTTTATTTATATGTATAGATTACCAATAAATTTTCTATTGCGGTCATTTCATATCATTTAATAATTAACATTAAACCTCTAGAATCTTCTAAATTATCAGTCCAGAAGTCTGTCTGTCTCGACATGACCTACATGACTAATTAATTTCCAAGTTAGTTATTTAACTCTTATAGTTATTAACAAAATATTAAATCTAATTGTAAAAAAAATACATTTTGAATATGACCAAGCAGTTTTCGAGTTCGGTCGTAAACATAAGAAGGAATACAATTTGCGTATTGGAGATCTAGTAAATTGGCCAGACACTATTGTAGCGAGCGTCATACATATTATTGTAAATGTATGGAATATGTTAATTAGTTTGTATGTTATTGTATGACTGCGTATGTACAATTTTTTGTCATGAATATATACAAAGAGTTTTAATGTAAAAATGTATTTAAAAATGTTTGCAAACTTTAATTCTAAAATATATTTATGAATGAATTTCAGTTACAAAATATATTAAACAAGCTGATGCCTTCGACTTTGTTTTATTAATTATTACTCTGTCCCTTTCTTGAAAGATCTATTCTCATACATTTTTGTATGAAGGATCAATTAGGGATGAAATAGATGGCTATTAAATGAATTCATCCTTTATTTCAACCCTTTTGTTTCATTATCGCCCGAAAAGTAACCTATGTCTTTTGCCACGGTCCAATTTAAATTTTGACCGCCTCGGTGATCTAGCGGATTAGTACGCCGCTTTACTTCCGATGGTCGCGGATTCGAGTCCTCGCACGGTGCAAACATTTATATTCATGAGTATGATTGTTTGTCTATGTATATTATGAATGTATTTATAAAAAAATAGATCTAAGTATTTATATCAGTTGTCTAGTACCCATAACACAAGCTCTGCTTACTGTGGGACTAAATGGCCCTGTGTTAATTGTCCAGGGTTATTTATTTATTTCAACCCTTTTATGTTTATTTATCACGGAAACAGTAACCTATGTCCTTTGCCACTACCCAATAATTCTATATCTATTTCGTTCAATTTGATTCAGTATTTTAGACGTTAACATGTAAAATATAAGAGTTAGTTTTGCATATACAATATTACATATTACATTTTTTAGACAGATGACAGACTATGTACTTTCTATTTTCACTAAATTTTATTAAGATCGGTTCAGTTCACAATTAGGTGGATTCACGCTACATCCTAGATATACCAAATCCCATACTCACTAAACGATTACTTGAATGACGAGCGTGCATGGCAATAGTTGTTCATGCACGGGATTTTCATATAATTAAAATAGACACCTACGTAAGTACAAAATATAAATAAATTTTAATTAAAAAAAGATTAAATTGAGTTTCTTGCCAGTTCTTCTCAATTGAATCTATATACTGAACTGGACGGTAGGGAAAACATATAATATAAAAAAATTGACATTCATAAGCAGCTAAAATGTACTATATGAATAAGTTATTTTTGATTTTGCCATCTTTTTCAACCAGATGAAGTAAGACACTATTCCCCTCCGATCGATTCAAACGGGAATTGATATTACGACGGCCTGAACCGAGGATCGACTAGCGGTGCCCTCAGACTAAAGTCGTATCCGTCAGGCGGGAGTTGGCCTTCAGCCGCTCCATAAGTCCTTCCTTTGGTTTGGAGTGCCAACTGCACTCGCCCCCTATCGTCCGGTGAAGCTGTAAAGACCAGCTGCGGCCAACAGCATTAGAGTAGTCCGAAAAAAAACGCTAACCCATTTATAAAAAAATCTATTAAACAGACAAACCTACTTTCGTATGCATTCATTATATAAATGTTATATTTATGTATGTTTGTAATTTATGCTTCTTGTAACTGAATTTTTGTGTCTGTACTGATGATGTAAATAAGAGTCTTGTGTGTTGGTTCGTTAAATAAAATACACTGAATAATTACAATGCCAGTGACGGCCTCGGTGGTCTAGCAGTTTAGCACAGCGCTTTATTCGTATGGTCGCGAGTTCGATTCTTCGTACGGTTCAAGGATTTGTATTTATAAGTCTGGATGTTTTTATATACATTGTGTATTTGTTTTAAAAATGTATCTAAGTATGTATTTATATCAGTTGTCTAGTGTACCCATAATATAAGCTCTCCTTAGCTTGGGACTAGATAAGCGATTGTTATCGTTTCCTATCTGTTGATTTGACTGCTTGTTCATGATTCCAATTAGAAAAAAAAGAATAAGCTATTTTATTGATGGAATTGACAAATTCACTAGAAATCTCACGACGGTCAGAGGTACAGGGGAAATTGTAGAGATTTAATTTGTTGTCAGCTTGACATCCACGTTGTTCCCCCTGGAAACCATAGTGATAAATTCCTGGTGAATTTACCACTATGGCCTAACTGACCTGACCTCATGCTCATCTTATCAGCCTCCACTGATGCCCCGCCAGCGTAAACCGGTAGCGCAGGCGGGTGCATCATTTCAGTCATCTATAAAAAAATGGGGTTATTAGTCCACATTACTAACAATCCTTCATCAAATCAATAAACAATCAATTGTGGTTGTATCTTTATTAAACTTGTTTGACTACAAGATACCCAATGAATATAAAAAATGACCGTACCCCGATCAATTATGTAACAAAATATGTTCACCTTGAAAACATGTTTGAGCTAGGAAATGCAAATTATTATTAATTTGCAATATAAGTGGAATATCACGTTGTTTTTTTTTTAATTATGTAATTGGAATAACAATTGGCAAAATTGGCAATTGTTGCCAAATTTACCAATTGTAGGCTGTACAAGTAATTTTTTTTATTGGTAAAATTCGAAAGTTTTATGTTATGTTGTTTCGTGAATTGTAAGCACAAATTTGTTATATAAATGTCATAGT